GGGGTGGAGTAAACAAAATAACCACAAGGCAGGAGTTTTAAAGACACTGCTGAATAAAGGAGACATTTTCTTGTAGTGCAACGTGAAAACAGAATACTAAAGTCAAGGTAAGACACAAAAACATTCAGCTCCTCCCAGTCCAATAGCTCATTTCACAGTATTTCATGAAGCAAAACTATGCAAAAGTGCATATTTTCACAGGTACAATAGCGTTCCACTGGTGTGACAAAAAAAGAGGATAGGGAAAGCTAAACAGAAGTTATTAAAATGAGAAAGGTGCCACTGCAGTACTGAGGGAGAGCTAGGGTTTGCTCAAAAGTCATAAAAAGTAATACATCCTTGCTGCTTAATTAAATCTAGACATTTCTCGTTGAGCATTTTCCGCCCCTTTTCGACAACAATTTGAAATAATTAACTATTCTAATCTGCTTGTTCCGTAATGTAAAGAGGTTTCCAGACAGTCAGTAAAACAATGCAGTTGAGATCCCGACCGGCGCTGATTTAAAAACATTTGTGTTTGACATTTTGGCGAGTCAGCAGGTGGAAATCTCAGATTTAAAAAGGCTTCAAGTCAAAATTAAGTCTGACAAACTAAATGATTAACACTGGCTAAAGAGGTGAACACTGAAACTGGACAGAAACTGATTAAATGGGCTATTCCCCATTTTGTTTAACCTTTCCTCCGAACACAAACAACCTTTAGACTTCAGCGGTCGGGCTTCACTTCACAGCAGCCAACATTTTTGGTGGCAATAGGGCATCCAGCAGTCTTGTAAACAATTGAGGAAAAACTGAGAAACCAACACACATCAGCAAGTAAAAACTTTGTGAGATGCAGGGGCCTGAGGGGAGATAGGCGATGGGGATTCCTTTGGCACCGCGGCAAATACAAGCCATTGTAAAAGCCCGGCAGATTCCAGAGAGCCGCAGAGGGTCCTCTGTGTGCACGTCGTCTCTTCAGGAGGCCGCCCAGAGCCCCCGTGGTGCTCCTCAAAACAGCCCACCGCTCCAATCTAATATCTCACAACCAATCACCTCGTCGTTAAAAATCAAAAACTCGGGAGTGCTCTCCGCTCCCCTTAACTCTTCCTCAGGCAGTCCACGTCCCCACAGACTTAAGAGCAACAAGGTTCTAGAAACCTTGAGCGTTTTGTGGCAGGGGGTGAGACCGACTCTCCGAGACACGGTGGAAATAAAAGTCTGATGTAAAAGAAATGTCATTCGCCTGCTCCTCCCGGGCTTACAACATGCATAAATTCATTTATGCACACCATGCATATTTCACACCACCTACTCCGGTGTAAACCCCACAGACAAACTGCAGCCAAAAGAACACAGACTGCTGGCTAAAGTTCTACATCTCAGTTCCTGCCGCCTCAGCACACATCTGGACCCACGGAGTATTAGAGAGCCACTTTCCACCCCACTTTCAGGTCTTCAGAAAAGGACTTTCAAAGAGCCAAAATCTTTGCAATAAATAAGGTCAAATACGACAAGAATAAAAATTCCTGAGATTTTAAGTCGCAATATCAATCAAAACCTCGCTGTAAACCGTTCAAAAACAGATGGCTTCCGTTAAGGAAAGCCACATTCTGAATAGTTAACACTAATGTCATCAAAATACACCACACACTTGGGCAACACTCTCCCACAGACTAATACATACTCTGCATTTATAAAAAGGAACTGAAAATGCTGTCCTGAGGCTACCTAACAAAGACGAGAAGATACCTCAGAGAAGCTACCCATTTGGAAACTTTACCCAAGAGTACGCTGGTGCTCAGCAGCCATTTTGTTGACATGTCTACAGTTAACTAAAAAGCAAAGAGTCACAACATTTGAAAGGAGTTTAAAAATGAATAAATTAAATGCTCCGTCTTAGGGGATCCAGCAAGGATGTATAAATGAAGGTTTCTTGAGATGCCGCTTGAACCAAAAATCTCTTCTGTAATTTTATAAAACTACATTAGTTGGATTTAACATAGAAAACTTAAGTCATTTATCCCTAGGACTTCTCCCATTATCGCATACTCTGTATGCAGTGGCAACTCATATTTAGACTGTTTTCATTGTAAGCCAGCGAGTTGAAACACCGTGGCGCTGAACTTTAGATCCACACAGAAAATTAGACTTCCCTCGGAATCAACATGTTACAGTAGGTTCATTTGGCAAATAAAAGAACTGCAGAAAGTCTGCAAGAAGAAAGTCACAGCATGACGAACACCCTCAGAATCAAACGGAAGAAAACAAAGATGGCCGATGAGGAGATGTAAGAAGAAAGCAGCCTGTTAAGAGCTAACGCTCCTGGTCTGTGGTGTGTTCAGTGTCGCCGCTTAACTCTTTGATTTAGAGTTACACTGTGTGAACTAGTATTGCTGTGTGTAGAGGATCAGAGGCCTGCCGTGAAGGAGAAGTTGGCAGCGAGTTTGATTCTGCTGCGCGTGGCTCTCCTGCCGGGACTGTCCGTGGACAGGGGGGGCTTCCTGTCTGGTTTGGAGACTGCAGAGTCGGCGACAGCAGCAAGTTCCCCGCTCTCTGAAATCACACACAAGTACAGACTGAGCTCACGCCTGATGAGACAGCAGAGGTGCAGCTAAAGTGTGATTCACTCTCCTTTGCATAAGGCTGAAGACTCAATAGCTTTAAGACACATTAAGCCAGGGGTCAGCAAGCTGGCACGCGGCACCGTAACCAGTGGCACACTAGGAATAAGTGGAATAAGTGTGCAAAATATTTAAATTGTATTTTCGGATCCTGAACGAGACCGCCGCCAGAGCGTGTCTCCCCGTTACCTGCAGAAGGAAGCCATGCACGCAACGCAGCCCCGCTCTCTTTATCTCCAGGTGACTTTCTGCCGCTTTCCTTTGTGGTGCAGTGCTGATCGTTTCACTAATTGCAGTAGTACCCATAAGGAGCGGTACAAATGCCGCAGTTTTTGCGTAGCTGTGTATTTAGTTGAAAGCCCAGTGGCGATCTGTTCATCTGTTATCGAAATAATATGCTACAAAGGGGCGGACTGGCCATCTGTGTGTTGAACTTTCCTGTCGGCTCCCAGACCGTAGTCGAGGAGGGCAGAAGCAACAAGCTTCAGGTTCAATCTCATCTCACTCTGCATGACCCTAATATCATAACATGTGTGCTGTGGAGAATCACAGAACGGACGATCGTCCTTATTATTATGCCGTTTAAACCAATTATTTAAATGTGTTTGTTAAATTCGGCATCATGTAAATTGCGCTGACAGGTCCACACACTGCTTCCCCGCAGCGAGGCTCCCCCACCCTCCTGCTGATAGTTCACAAGCGTCAAGCTCCTCTGTAATCCACAATCAGAACATCCAGATCACAGAACTAACCCTCCCCTCAGTATCATCCTTTGAATTAATTGCCTTCAAAGCCCCTCCCTCACTGACAGTCATCCTCATCTACCGGCCTCCTAAACCTCATCCCTCCTTCCTCTCCGATTTCACTGAATTCCTCACACTTGCCTCATCCCTGTCTCAACGTCTGTTACTACTTGGTGACCTCAACATTCACATTGACTCACCCACCTGCAAGCTGGCATCCGAATTCACAACCCTACTGGACAATTTCTCTATCACCCAACATGTCACCTTCCCCACCCATGACAAAGGACACATTCTTGATCTCGTCTGCTCTACCAACCTCCCAGTGATTGACCTCCACCCTTGCCCATTTCCCCTCTCCGACCACAAACTCATACAATTCACCATTGCCTCCCCCACCCGAAACCCCTGCCCACCCAGAAACATCACCTTCCGTAATCTACACTCCATTGACCATAACCATCTCTCTGAACTGCTATCGTCTAATCTCCCCCTGGACGCAACCCTCAGCTCACCTGATGATCTGCTCAACCACCTCAACTCTACCCTACTCACCTCCCTCAACACTTTAGCCCCCCTCAAAAATAAAACTGTTACTTTCAAGACCTCCTCACCCCTGGTTCACACACGCACTGCGTAAAATGAAGCAGCGAGGCCGCCTCAAACCATGAATACATTACCTGACACTCCCTCTAAAGAAACTTTCGGTG